ATTGATACACTTGTTGAAAATCGCTTCCAGTTCCTCACTTTTTCCAAAAAGTTCCTCACTTGCTTTCAGTTCTCACTTGCTTCCAGTTCTCACTTGCTTCCAGTTCCTCACTTGCTTCCAGTTCTCACTTGCTTCCAGTTCCTCACTTGCCTCCAGTTCCTCACTTGCTTCCAGTTCTCACTTGCTTCCAGTTCCAAATCTTTGATAGAGAGGAAACTGTATAAAACTATATATGAAACTTTGCATATTTTAATGCAATACACTTTTTATAGCTTTTTCATTGAACAAAATTGTTTTTCTAATTTTATTATTAGCCTTTGGGAAGATATGAGATTTAAATGATTCTTTTTTAGATAAAACCCTATTTAAATCTAAAATACATTTAAAATGACTGAAAACATTGATTCTGCCATATTTATAATACTTGGACTATAAGTTATCGTTTACTTAATGCCTAAATAAAAAATTTATTTTTTCTCATTTGAATTTTTGACATTAGCGTGATTGGCTTGCACCTTTCAAAGATCTTTCTGATTGGGTCTGCATCCCTTAAAACATTTTTTGATTAACTTAAGGAACCAAGCCAATCATAAATAGCTTTTGAGGGGTGCAGGCCAATCAAAAATATTTTTTAAGGGAGCTGGCAAAGCAGAATATACAGAAGTTCCCAAGTGAAAACATTTAAAAAAAAAAATTTACTGCTTTTACACAAAGTTCTATACAACTACAACAACAATTATTTTCAAATTCCTTTAAAAAAAATAAAACCAAAAGCTATGGGTAAAATAAATAAATTTACTCAAAGTTTTTACTAAGTATTAAACATTTTTTTTTTAGTAATTAAAAAATGCTATGAAATAGTAAATTATTTTGCTGAAAGTTAAGGGTGCTAAATTCAAAGAGTAAAGTTAAAGGGTGCTAAAGTAAGAGGGTGCTAAAGTTAAAAGGTGTTAACATTAAAGGCTATTGTTGGAAGTTAAAGGGTTGTTAAAAGTTAATGGGTGGAGTACCATTTACCTTTTAACAACCAGTGTTTTTGTGTTTTAAGTGGGCACAATACTTAAAACACAAATTCATGTAGAAGCAATGACAGTAACAAAACTCTTTATTTTTTATTTATTTATAACATGTGTTTCAGCTTAGAATACATGTCAATAAGGTATTCTTGATCCATTGCTTGAGTTAGCTTTTAAGTAATTTTGTAATGCAAAATTTAATTGATAATAACCATGCTGGTTCTTGTTAAAAAATTATTATCTAAAAGATGCCGAATGCTATTTTTACAAAACTTTCTTAAACTTTACATATAATGAATGAAAGAAAATAGGTCTATAGTTTAAAGGATCAAGCCTGTCACAATTTCAAAAATTGGAACGATGTTTAAATCTTTCCACGTTATTGATAACTGTCCAAAAATTGTTTTAAGCAGATTTTTAGTGCAAATTACATCTTTACATTTTTGTTGGCTGTTCACATATGCTTAAAACTTATTAAGACTTTTTTCTGAACATCTCGCTGTTTTACATTTAAATAGTTTAAAGGCATATTAAAGGATATTAATATAAATTTGAGTCTAAAGTTTGATAAACATTTTATTTTTGTTAATAATTCATGATTGTTTATACAAGATACAAAAAGTTTTGAACATAATCTATTTTTTTTATTAATTAGTTTATGTTAGATATAATCCATGTTTGTAGTGGTTGTCCGCATTTTTTTAATAATTGTCTGTATTTTTTGTAGTTGTTCGTATTTTTTTGAACTTATCAAATCTCATCATATACAACTCTAAAAATCTACCATAACACTCATTCAAAGAATTTTGAAAGAATTCTTTACAACAAAATATATGATCATCTATAAATAAATATTATATACCAGTCAATATATGATCATCTATAAATAAATGTTAAATATCAGTCAATATGGATTTAAAAAAAATAATTCCACTATCACACAATACTTTATCTGACTCGAAATATTGCATAATCATTTGAGAAACCACAATATATACTCTTTGATGGTCTTCCTCTTTTAGACAAGGTCCAAAAACACATTGTGAACTAACTGTTTATGGTTGCTTAAAAAGCTTTTTAGTAATTTGAGAAAATTTCTGCTGATTCCATAGTTTTTAAGTTTTTGTATAATAATTTTTGTATAAGAATCTCATGATCTTGTCAAAGGTGTTTGATAGGTCAATGAAAACTGAGTTTTCATTTCATTGATTTTCAGTTAGAACCTTGTGTGGTTCTCATTTTTTTTTTAGCTTTTCTGCAAAAAAAAAAAAATGCTGAATTAAATTTTTTCAAGTTTGGTTGTTTGTGAAAATTTCAAGCTTACTTTAAGTAAAACTAAATCTCCGCAAATTAAATTTAAATTATTTATCAATTTAACCATGAAGTAATATTTAGCCAGAAGTTCAGCAAATGAAAATTTAAGTTAATCCTGATTCCTGTGCTTTGATTGATTTATTTATCAAGACCCAAAAGAAAGGCCATAAAACAATTTATATAGGTTCTCTTTTTTTTTTTTTTAAAAGTCATGTTAAATTAAAAAATTTTCGTTTAATTTTTGTGCATATTTTAAAAAAATATAAGAACAAGTAATTTTGGGCAGCAGTTCAATTTTTGTCTATCAGAGATTGCTAGAAATTCAAAAAAAATTCTAAAATAGGCTTAAAATGTCAACAAAAATTTTACAAAGAGATTTTTAATACTGGCTTCCAGATTTTACAAATTATGGGTTACTGGGTTCCAGACTGCTTAGATCATGATATAAATTTTGTTTTGACCAAAATGAGCCTCTAGCGGTTCACTTTTTTTGGAAACACCTAATGTTTTTAGACCAGTCATTTTTAATTACCGTAATTTCCTGCAAACTACAAACACAAACATTATGCAGAAAATTTGTTACAGATTTTACATTGCTTGGATGAAGGTCGCAAATTTTCGTCAAAAGTCGAACTTTAATGTGTTAATGTTTTTCCTTGAATAACTCGAAAGCTTCTATTAGCGTATAATATAAATAAAATATCGCAATATTATTTGTCAAATGATTGAATTTGAATGACATCTTTTTTGTTCAGTGATATTTGGAAAACTTCATCTTTGTTGTAAAAGTTCTTGTATAAGTTGTAAAAGTTCAGTGATGCAACCAAATTATTACAGAGATGAAAAAAGCACTTGAATTATAAAAAAAAAAAAAAAAAAAAAATTTACTTCAATTTATTTTATTTATTTATTTGAATTTACAAAATGAGTAAAAATAATTACAAATTAAAATTTTTTTGGTCAAATATCAAATTTTTATTAAACACTAGGGGGGGGGGGGAAGAGGGGAAGGGCGGACACTGGATTTAGCCTACCCATTTCCTTAACAGTTTTAAAAAACACTATTATGATAGCAACAATGGAATCATCATTTTCCAGTCTGTGTATATATATATATATATATATATATATATATATATATATATATATATATATATATATATATATATATATATATATATATATATATATATACAGGCTTCGGCAGGAATGACGGGCTATGGCCCGTGTCCGTCTCCGCACCCGTCTAAGTCAGTTTAGACGGGCGAAATAAAGCCCGTCTGAAACATAAGTTTTGTGTAAAAAAAAAGATGAATATTTTGATGTTTTTTTATTAAGATACCCTTTTAAAACTTCTCTCATGACATAATTTTAATATGGATAGCAAACTCCAACTTATAATTGTTTATATTTAAATATAAAAATTAAACAATTTAATCATTATTGTATAACATGATGTAGAAGATAATATAACTAAATCTTACAGTTTTTTAAACGACGATAACTGTTTGATATAATACCAAACAGTTACCATATTATGTTCAAAATTTAATAACTATTATATTAAATAGGGAAATATACACATGTGATGCACAAGAAGTATCATGTTGTTTTGGTTTTTCAATGTTTATAATAATAACGATAATAAACTAATTATTCATGTATTTCGCTTTTTTCCGATAAACTAGTTTGTTTTACTTTAAAGACATTTAAAGTGATATTTCCGCGTTAACTTCCGCGTTAACTTCCGCGTTAACTTCACGTTTTTTCTTAAAGAGACGGCAGTTTATTTAATATGCAATTATATAACTCGTTATTGAAAATGAAATATCTCATTAAAAATCAACAAACGTCTAATCAATTTTTGTAGATAATATAAATAGTGTTGCTTTATAGTTATGAAGTTATTCAAGTTATCCAGTCATTCAAGTTTTTCAAGTTATTCAAGTTTTTCAAGTTATTCAAGTTTTTCAGTAAAGATAGTAATGGCATCATCTGGTAGAAGAGTTACATTAGCAACATTTTTGAGTTGGGGTAAAGATGGAGTCTGTGGAAAAGAAACTGAGGTAGAGAATGGAACAATTTTTGTTGTGAAGATATGGTGTATGGTTTGTATAAAATATAAAAAAGAATTGCTTCGCGAGTTAAAAGGTCTGGCAAAATCAAAAGCATTAGCATTTATAGAGGGCACTACGAACGTTAAAGCTAGCAACATACATACGCTTATATACATGCTTATATTGTATATAAAGTAACGGAAGCCCCGGTATCTTAAGAAATTATTAGTACTTCTAAATAAAAACTTATTTTATTAAAAGAAATTAGATTTCAAATTTTTTATTCACGAATCAGAATAACTATTTCCGATCAGGATAGGCATAGGTAAAGCAAAATTATAAAAATATAAATAACAGTTTAAGTTTTTAAATTGCACGCCCAATAGAATGCAAGAGTATATAAATAATTGAATTTGAAAAATAACATAGTTACGTATCATATTACCAAGCTAATACCAAACAATTCTAAAACTATCAAGCTCATTGATTCAAGGTTTAAAAAAAAAAAAGATTTCAAACTATTTGCGGAATAATTAAAAAAATTAGATTTTGAAAATATTATGTAATATTTTTATTCACAAAGAATAAAAGAAACGAATGAACTAAAAAAGCACGATAAAAACCTGTATAATTTAATCGAATACTTGATTAAAACAATAATATATAAATATACTCAAAAAGACTTCGGTAAAAAAACACGTTAGGATGCTTGAATAAGGAAACGTGATGAAACGCCATGGTTGTTTCGAGGATTTTTCCCGTCGTTTTCACGTTCATTCGTTTGACTATATCTGCCAGATATTATCTGAAATAAAGATTAAAAAAAAAAAAACATAAAAAACTGAATAAAGTTCCTTCGAGTAAGAAATCTAAACAAAAGCAACCATAAAACAACTAACCCACGTGAAACGAAATTAGATCTGTGCAAGTGAAAACTTTGAAAAACAATTATTGAAGTCTTAGTTTTAAGTATTATCCAACTCATTTACTGCAGTGTTTTAATTACTTAAGTAATTAAGCATTTTAAACAGTTAATCGCTTTCTAACATATTATTTTAGTGCAATTCACAAAATGTTTAATATTCAATGACATTTTCATTCAAAAAGAAGAAGAGAAATTAACAAATTTAAAAAAAAAAAAGTTCAAACTTTAAAATTTTTTAAAGTTTAAAAAAGCCCGTGCAAGACCATCTACACCTTTTCAAGATGTAATTGAGAAAACAAAAATTGTAATTAAGAATCGTAAGATGTAATTGAGAAAACAAAAGTTGTAATTAAGAAACGTAAGATGTAATTGAGAAAACGTAAGTTGTAATTAAGAAACATAAGATGTAATTTAGAAAACGAAAATTGTAATTAAGAATCTTAACATGTAATTGAGAAAATGTAAATTCTAATTAAGAAATAGAAAGATGTAATTGAGAACACGAAAATTTTAATTTAGATATCGCTTTAAAGGAGTAAGTGTAAAATGGCGCTGCAAAAAAATGGCGCGTAAAAAAATGGAGCGTATATAATGACGCACTTAAAAATGACGCAAGATTTGTAGCGTAAATTTAATTTTTTAGGGAAAAATTTAGGGAAAAATTTATAATTTCTGGGCAAATGAATTTAACATAATAAACACTAAAAACATTTTAGGGAAAAATTTATAATTCAATTAAAAATTATAATTTATATAATTAAAAATCTCTTCATTGATCATTTAAGCACCAACTTGTACTTTTTCCATATTTAAAATAGTTGCATAGTGCGTGGTTGTGTGTTGTACCGCACGTGCACAATCTCCTCCCATTATAGTATTTTTCGCCTCAATTACAATTCGTTCTAAGTACTGCATGCGCTGTTCCGCAATCCCGTCACCTAATACAGGTGGAATGCGAATTGCATTTTTAACGTTACTTTTAATTTTGGACCAGATCGTTTCCACCGGGTTCAACATTGGACTGTAAGGTCCCAAACGTAACAACTGAGCTGGTGAATTATCAAACACCCTTTGCAAACGAGCGTGACAAGAAGCATTATCTGTTACGACGACCAAATCCTCCAAACGATTCCCGGATGTAACCCACTGGTGAAACATAGCCAACATCCACTCGTTACAGGAATCTGCTTTAAATGATCCCCTGCGAGTTTCTATCATGACGACATTTGTAGTTGAAATAGCTGCGATCAAGTGTATGTTTAAACCTTTTGAAGCAGGTACTTTCACAATTGCTCTTTTTCCTTGTCTTGCGCGTCCTTGCGTTTTTCTACAAAAAAGGTTAAAATTTGTTTCATCCAACCAAACTATCTGACGACCATTTGTGATATGTTCGTTGATGTTTCTAACATATTCAGCGAGTTTCACCCAATCTTCAAATCGCTCCGCACATTCAACAACTCTTCTCCTGTCATTTGGAGAAGATAAAGCGTAACGTTTCCTTTCAACTTGTTCAGTTGTGTGTATTTCATGCCGACAAATCGGACAACTTGAATCTGGTTGTTCCAGAACTGGACGTAAACAAATTTGGTGACACGGATTTAGCTTAATCACAGACTTTCGGGTCATAGTGTATTGGCATATAACACAACGATCTTTCAATTCCATTATTATTACTTGTGCATACAAAAGCAAAATTTAAGATTATAACTTAAATTCATGTCCAAAAAGACCTTTTGTAACAACCTACAAACTTAGACTGTGAATTTGCTATTTTAATTTATGTGTTCTCAATTACAAGTTACGATTTCTCAATTACATATTATGATTTCTCAATTATATCTTACGTTTTCTCAATTACATGTTGTGTTTCTTAATTACATGTTACGACTTCTTATTTACATGTTGTGTTTCTCAATTACATATAACGTTTTCTCAATTACATGTTGTGTTTCTTAATTACATTTTACAACTTCTTAATTACAACTTTCATGTTCTCATTTACATCTTGAAAAGGTGTAGACGGGCGGCCCTCATAGCCCGCCAAGTCTATTTAAGACGGGCTTTTCATAGCCCGTACGGTTTTTATTCCTGCCGAAGCCTGTATATATATATATATATATATATATATATATATATATATATATATATATATATATATATATATATATATATATATATATATATATACATATATATATACATATATATATATATACACATATATATATATATATGTATATATATATGTATATATATATATATATATAATATACATATATATATATATATATATATATATATATATATATATATATATATATATATATATATATATATATATATATATATATATATATATATATATATATATATATATATATATATATAAAGAGTTACAAATTAAAAACAAAATAGTTTTATAATTGCTTAACAAACTTTAATTTTATAAAAAATTAAATATTAAGATTAAATTAAAAAAATCTTACACCTATGATATGATGATTGCAAACCATATTGATAATCATAAGGTAAGTTATTAGATTCAAGATTCAAGATTAAGTGTTTGTTAATTAAAGTCTTAAAAATCTTGCTTATGATAGTGAGAAGACGACAACAGTTTAATGGGATGGTAGTTTGAAAGCTTTCCAGATTTTTTGAAAATAACAATGTCAATAACCACCAGGCTAGAAAACTAGAACTTAATAAGCACTTATTAAATAGTTTTGACAACAATTAAAGACAACAGCTACAGAGAACACTTCTTCAAAACTTTAACAGGTATGTTGTCTGGACTACAACCTGTAGAAGTCTAAGCAGAAAATCACATTAGATGCAGAAGCTGGAGTTATACGCATGTCAAGCAATCAATCAAACTGTATGTTGGCTATATCAGGTAGGATATGATTAGTGGAATTAAGAAATTAGATTTATAAAAAATCTGAACTACAAAAGAGAACAGGAACAACAGATTTGTCTTTATTATAGACACAGTTAAAAAGTATCCAGAAGCCTCTGGAGCCTCTCTTTTGAGATAAAATACAAGATTTGTGATCTGAGAATAGCAGGCTTAGGCATTAGACAATACCATTTAACAATGGTTTCTAGCAATAATAAACAGACGCCTGTTTTTTGGAGATTTGTTTTGGCAATAGATATGGAAATAATGGTTACAATTGGAAATTACAGCAGCAAATTGAGAGGAAAGCCATGGAGAAGAGTGAGGTTTGATTTATCAGGAGGTTGTAAAAGATTCCATGCCAACCTGAATCTAAGAAGTTACATAAGAAGCACGTTTGTCAGCAGGAAGAAAAAAAAGCTCTTTATAACTTAATAATAAAAATGTCCAAGCCAAACACAAACCACAACTTATCAAAATACAGGAAAATGAAAAGGTCAGTAAATTTACAATCTCTTTTTTTCAATAAAACCCCTACAAACAACTACTTCAGTTAGACATTAGTAACTTTTCCTACAAGGCAATAAAAAAAATTATGATTAAAAACTTTTTACAACTATAAACTTATCGAATTATAATTTTAACTTTTTGCTATTTTTTTTTTCCTATTATTATTATTAAATAATAAAAATAATAGGAAATAATTGTGAAAGTAAAAAAGCAACTATAACAACATACTCATTAACTTTTATTTAGAATTAAGTATTTATTTTAATATATTAATATAAAAAGTTAAAATATTTCAAAGAATTCAAATTATTGCAGTAGGCATCTAATAAAATTTTAAACTTTTGTTTTGGTGGTACCCATAAGCTTGTGCAATGAACAACAATCAAAACTATTTGATGCTTAAATTTTCAAATTATAAACGTTTCTGCAGATATATATATATATATTTTTTCATACTTTGTTTATTAGACCAGTACATTGCAATAATTTTTAATTTTGGGAAGATCGAAGAATTTGTTATTTTAGAGACAACTTTTACGTCATTTTGTTTATACCACCCCATAGCCAGATAGCTATAATGATTTGATAATAAATCAGACCATACCACAAGTGAACTATCAAATGATTTAGTAAGAGATAAAAGACAGTTTTGTAAACACTCTTTAACATATATTTTATCAAAAAGTGTGCAATCAATTTTTATCTTGACTATTGAATAAATCAAAACTTTTTTCATGAAAAAAGTTTTGATTTATTCAATTGAATAAATCAAAACTTTTTTCATAATCATGTTTGTATTTAATATTCTTATTTGATTTTTTTCTATATTTCTGCATTATAATAGACAGCCAGGAGTTTGCTGATGATCGTATTTTATATAATTTATATTACAGTTTATAACTTGTATAACATTTAATAATACAGAAATTTTTAGGAAATTAATTTTCATACAACTTTTATAATTGGGTTTATGTACTTTTTTTTGAATTTCATAATGGTAAGGCGCATTTTGTGATTTAAAGGCTTAAAAAACATGTTTATTTCAAACTATTAGAACAAAATTATGAGTTATATGATTGGTCTATTTGTAAGAGGCCTGTATATAGTGTATATGAGTGTATAAATTACGATGATTAGAGCTTGGGATCAAAAAAACCCAAAAAATTAAAATAGTTTTTGTACTATTTTCAACTAGACTTACATTCATTGATAAATTTTTCATAGTATTATCTGTCAGCGTAAAAAATTATGACTATATAAAATTTGCAACCCCCTCAAATTGAGGGGGATTTAAACTTTATATAGTCATAATTTTTGAACGCTAAAATATTTTACTATAAAGTTTCAAATTTATTTATGAGTATAAGTTTAGTTGAAAATAGTACAAAAACTATTTTACAAACTTATTGCTCTCTCCTTCAAGGCAATGTTGGACAAATTTTTAGGTTTTTTTTGTTCCCAAGCTCCAATCTTCCTTATTTGTTATAAATATGAATGTATAAATGTTTGGAATTTGCTCCATGTTTGAAAGTTAGCTCAAAGATCAAATAATGTTGGCATTTTTACATAACAGGTTCATGACATTTTAAGACATAACATTAAATAACAGGTTCATGAGATTTTATAATTGCAATCGTCTTTTAAAATTCTTTATGTTAATATACCTTTATACACTTTTCTCTGCCAAAGAAAAGTGAAATTTATTTTTGACATAAAACTTGTCCTTACCTACTCAAACAAAAAAATTAAATTCAACATAAAAGTTTTTACTTACCAATTCAAACAATCGAAAATGATGATTTGCTTTTGACTATCAAATTATCATTGTTAGAATTGAGTCTTATTAGAAGTTGCAAATAATCTAAGTTGTTTAAAAAAACTCCTCCACAAACTGTTGATGTAGTGGATGATTTTAAAGATCATACAATACTCTATCAACTTTATTAAGAACAGCAACCATTTCCAAAAAATTTTTATTTTGAGCTTAATAAAACATTATATTTGCTGTAATGAAGTAAAACCCAGACTTTTCAGCAATATAATCTTGTCTAGAAAGAAATCCCTGACCATATTCAAATAACCAAGAACTTCCATTTGTAATCCAGCCATTAATGGGATACCATTTGCTTTGATTTTAAAAAATACTATTAATTCTAAACTGCATTGCAAAAAATCCAAAAGTATCGACGCCAATGAATGTTAGTGAACTTGATGATGGCTTACCAATGGAATATGAATTAACAGTCAAAGCATTATTTTTAAATGAGTACATATCTGCAACATTTAAAGAAACCACAGTAGTAAATGATAAACTAAATGGTAACAATCCTTCATTGTAGTACTCAAAAAGGTTAATTAAAGATGTACCCAAATTTTGCTTAATACTGATAAAGCCATAAATATTTATAAGATCAATATTAAATGCAGCTAAACATACACCACCTTTAGAAATAATATATTCATTTGCTTGGGTGAAGTTTGTTTAATGTATTGACTCTACTGCAGACCATCCCACTATTTTTTGATCTTCTGATAAACTTATAAGTATTTCAGATAATAACTGACATGAAAAACCATCTAATGATCTCAGAGGATTAATAAGCTTTAGACTAAACACGCTTAACTCAGATACATATGTTGTCAATGCATTTAATTGGACAAAAATTGCAACAGTGTGACTAACTAAAAATTTTACTGCTTCTGTTATTGAAATAGTACAAATACCAGAACATACAGGATATAAATATGAAGGACCAATACCAGATTTAACCATTGAAAAACCACTTTAGTCTGCATTGATACCAATCTTTACTCTTAAAGATAAAAAAATTTTGATATTTTTAAATCTATAACAGATCATTACTTTATTTACAAAAACAGTAGTTGTGGTAACTATTCCTTGACCTCAAAAATCTAAATTTGAAAAACAATGAAATATCTATACTTCTAGAAAATTTTAACATCTCAAGGACGGCAGAACTTACAGGTTTGCCTAATCATAGAATTCTTAAAATTACCTCACAAACTGCAGTTTATAAGGTAAGTATCTCGATTTAACTTATTTTCTATGGATAATCAATCTTTAAAATAAGTTTATTTTTACCACCTTTTTTTAAAATTTTCATACTTATATACTTGTACATGTTCATACTTACTTAAATAAATAAAAACTTGAAACAATTTACTCCAATAACATTCATATTTTTTCAATACCATAATTATACTCTTACATATAAAATTCTAACACAACACATATCCATATAAAACTACAGGTAATGCTTATTAGAACATAATTAAAATGGTTGTAAACTAAAGTTTACAACCGCTTTAAAGTGTGTTGTCTTTTTTATCGCTAAGAATCTCACTTATTCAAAAAGTTTTATGTATTACATTAGATTTATAAAATAAAATTTTTTATCGCTAAGAATCTCACTTATTCATAAAAGTTTTATTATATTATATTAATTCTTACATTAATCATCATACTTTTCTTTATCTCTCAAAAAAAAAAAAAAAATCAAACCCAATAGAAATTTGACTTTCGTTTGTTTTAATAACTAAGGTACTTGATATTAAATACACTCCATCTAAAAAAACAGTATATACTCCATCCATTTGGTTAAGACCTTCTCCATCAACACCAAGAACAGTTGACATTATAACAATCTAATTTCTTAGTCTTGTATAATACCTAAAAAATAATAATTTCTTTTAAAATAACAACAACAGGGATTAGTTAAGTTGTATGCTAAGTAATACTGAGTAAAAATTGATTACTGAGTAAAAATTGAATTATTTACAATAATTTCTATTAATCTTATTATTTTAAGAAAACATATTACAGTCTTAAAGATCATTGGCTTTTGCATGCTTAGAGAATAATGTAACCTTATCAAGCCATTCTTATGCACAATGTTGAATATTACTAACATAACTTAAAATTTAATTAAATTAAGGGTTATTCCATATGAAATCATCCAGACCATGACACCCTTACGTCTCAGAATTTGTTCATTTTTACACCACTTGCAGTCCATAATAAAAAAATTATAACTGCGAAAATTTTAGTCAAAAGTACACATGGGTTCCAGAGATAACATCAGTTGAAATAATGCTGATTCAGCAATTTACTGATTTTCTGAAGCGACTCCAAAGCAACGTTGATTCAACTTTTTCAATGGTGTTTCTTGGGTATCAGACAAATATTTTTGGTGTAACAACAGTTCTCACAAATAGTTTAGCTTACACTACATCTGGTTGGTTTAAGATTGGAAAATGGAAATCTCAAACTGCAGCAGGTCCATTTTTTAATTTTGGGGGAGGATTTAATCCAGACTCTGTAGAGTGGGTAGCTAAAAATGTACATTTTTTTTTACTTTTGTTTTTAGATTGATTATACTTGTATCTTTATTTCTTTTTCAGTTTTGTTGCTCCTAAAGCAGGTTTTTACATTGTGAGTGCTAGAATAAAAATGGTTCAGGCAAGTGCAGTTGGTTCTACCTTTACTCTAAATGTTGCTATTAATGGAAATCCATCTACTTTACAATACCAAAATGGAATACAAGACTATCTTCAAAATGGTAATGTTGCACCTACTACAAAGTAAATACCTTTCTTGTAGTTTTGTTTTATTCATTGTTAAAATATTTTGAAAAAGCAAAGTTAAAATTATAAATTTTTTATGTACTTGTTACTAATAGGTACTAAGAATTTTATTTTATCAGTTTTTAGTAAATAATGTCTTCCTATTTAGTTTTTAGTAAGTTAAAATGTCTTTTATATTTTTTTTTAATAAAAAATTATGATGCTTTATCATTTAGTTTGTATGAGCTAGTATCTTTATTCTTTGCAGTCTTTTAAATAGTGATTTTTACTCATTGGTTGTGTCTGGTTTGGTATTAGTTAATGCAGGTGACAGCATTGCACTTTATATTCAATCTGTTGCTGATCCATCTTATACAATAAGTCAAGACAGCTTTATGTCAATCATTTTCATTAGCTCTACCAATAATTTATATTCATCTGGAATGCAGTTAATGCTAGATCCAACACTTGATCATTAGTTGAGTGCTTCTGATTGGTCTAAAGTTAAATATTGGCAGAGCAACTGGGTGAGCACTGCAACTGGTGTTTTCAGCAGTGGTAAATTTTCTTTTTCTTTTTTAAATTTAGGTTTTTAAATTAAAGAGTTATTCATCAATTGTCTCGCTTATACTTAATACTTGATCAAAGTTTGCATTTAAAAATGGTGTCTTTTTAGAAAAATTTAAATTTTGTAACAAAAGCAATTAAAATATTTTTAAAAACATTTATTTGAGTAAAACATTAAATAGTGTTATTTGTTGAATAGTTTACGACATTTGTAGTCATGGTTTAAGGGAGGTCCAGGGGGTCTTGATTGACCTATGCCCCCCCTCCCCCATATACCAAGTTTTTTTAATTTTTTTTTTTATTTTTACATAAAATGAATAAATAATAAAAAATTATCCAATTACAATTTAAAAACATATATTTTTTTAAATTTAAGTTTAAGAAACAATTTATTTTAGTTATTTTCAAATCAATAAATACCTCTTATTTTCTAGATCTTTTCACGATTTAAAAAGTTATTAATTTTAAAACAAAAAATATTAAAATCTTTTTCAAACATTTTAACAAACAATATCTTTATGATATTATTTAGTAGTTCAAGACTAATACAGTCATTAAAATAATAGGTGGAGATTGGAATTTATTTAAATCCCACCCCCTCCTTCTCAGCCTACAATCCAAAGATTTGAAAAAAAGAAAAAAGAGAAATATTAAATGCAAATAGGTAAATAAAATAAAAACAAAATTATTTTAAATGTAATTAATATTTTTTGTAACCAACAGCTTATATTCTCTAAATCTAAATCAGTTATATAATTGATATCTTTGTACGTGTCCATGATTTCGGTGCAAGCGTTAACATTTGCACCTTATGGCAATAAGAGTCAGTCTCTAAAAATTTTTTTTTAATTCAACATTAAAATAACATTAAAATCACTAGATCATAGCTATTGCTAATGTTGTTGTTTAAAATTTTAATTTCTGTTGTTAAAAAAGTTTCTTTAATATTATATGCTAATGAGACCATTTTTGCAACTCTGTCAATAGTGTTCTTAAACTTTTGTTTTGCTTTAGGCAATTTGCTGTGTTTTAAAAGACTTTTTAGTTTGACTGGTGAAATTCTAAGCAATTCTATAGTGGTTTTTTTCTTACTTTTTGATTCCCGTTCATCCTGTGAATTTAAATCTTCTTCAGTTTCTATTGCTTTTTTGTAACATTTACTGCAGAATTTCCAACCTGGGGTTACATAAACGTTATTTTCTTGCAAAAATTTTGCCATGTCTATGGAAATCTTTATATTACCTAAAAAGAAAATTTATTTTTAGGATTTTAAAATAACTAAACATATAAACATTTTTATAAATGATAAATTGTTTTTCTTTTAACTTCCATATCAATTCTGTTGTAAATAATGTTAGATTACCTTTTATAGTAAATCTTTTACTTTTCTTGTTTATTTCAAAAGGATTGCAGCACTTTAATTTTTTTCTCAAAATATTTTCCATAGAATTGCACATGATAACAACATATAATTTTTATTGAACTATGTTTTCCTTTTAAATTTGCTCGCCATATTATTTCTTTTTGTTTTTCACAAGAAAGATCTTTAAATTGAACAAAACCTTGTTATCTAGAAAATCCAGTTTTGTGGCAATGAATGTTAAGACTTATTCCAATGTCACATTTCTCCATATTAAATACTTTTATTATTTATTACCTGCCAAAAAAAATAAAATATATAAAATTTATAGTCATTCTTTAGAAAATTACAAATAAGTAAAGTATCTTTAAAAGGAACAAAACAAAACTTATGCTTGTTTTTGATATAATAGGAGGTTTTAATTCACCAATTTGAAACAATGAAAATAAAATGTTTCTCAAACTTAAACAAAAAAAATATGTTTTTAAATTGTATTTTAATTGAAAAAAAAAAAAAAAAAAAAAAAAGAGATAGGAGGGGGGGGGGGAGGAAGTTCATCCAAGGCCCCCTGGACTTCTCTTGAACCATGACTATAAATGTCCTAAACTAGTCAACAAATAACACTATTTGATGTTTTACTCAAATAAATGTTTTTAAAAATACTTTAATTGCTTTTGTTACAAAATTTAAATTTTTCTAAAAAGAATAAAACAAAACTACAAGAAAGGTATTTACTTTGTAGTAGGTGCAACATTACCATTATGAAGATAGTCTTGTATTCCATTTTGGTATTGTAAAGTAGATGGATTTCCATTAACAGCAACATTTAAAGTAAAGGTAGAACCAACTGCACTTGCCTGAACCGTTTTTATTCCAGCACTCACAATGTAAAAACCTGCTTTAGGAGCAACAAAACTAAAAAAGAAATAAAGATACAAGTATAATCAATCTAAAAACAAAAGTAAAAAAAAATGTACATTTTTAGCTACTTACTCTCCAGTGTCTGGATTAAATCCTCCTCCAAAATCAAAAAATGGACCTGCTGCAGATTGAGATTTCCATTTTCCAATCTTAAACCAACCAGATGTAGTGTAAGCTAAACTATTTGTGAGAACTGTTGTTACACCAAAAATATTTGTCTGATACCCAAGAAACACTATTGAAAAAGTTGAATCAATATCTATGGACCAGCTATTATCATTTTCAATCATAACAAAAACATTAACATAAGAATCTAAAGAAAATATCAGCATTAACCTAATGAACATCTGACAACTGATGTCAGTTGTCAACTTGATGTCAGTCTTGACTTGATGTCAGTCAACTCAATTGCATCAGACAATAACAACTAATTAATGTCATGCAATCAGATTTATTAATAAATATTTTTCAATAAATATTGCATTTAACAAAAATTGAAAGAGCTAATATGATAAACTAAAAAATAAAACAAACAATGAATAAATAAATAACTATACCTTTTTTAATAAATAAGGCTCCAGACACACTAAGAATGTCTTGAACTACTGATGGTTTTCCTTTTGTTGCATATAAAGCAGTTTGTTTTGATAACTGATTATTGACAGCTATCATAAAATATAAATTGGTCCATTGCTGTCTTTAAAAATAACACTAGCAGACAAATAAAAGATCCCTGTTGCCATAGCAGTATACTTACCAGAAACTAATTTTTCAGTAAAAAAATGAGTCACTCTTCTGACTTTCAGACCATGTGTCAATAACTACCCAATTGTTAATTTTTGTTTGATAAACCTTTTGATAATAATATTTGAAGTTAAACTAATTTAAAATACATATAATAGTTTAATCAACATATGTGTGTATAGTATATATATATATATATATATATATATATATATATATATATATATATATATATATATATATATATATATATATATATATATATATATATATATATATAATAGGGTGTTTCAAAAAAAAGTAGTCTCCAGGCAAAAAAAAAAGAGCCCTAGCTTATCATCTGTCTAAACCGTGATTTAGTACTGAAAAAAAATTTTTTTTACATTTTTGAAAACCCTAAGGGTACCTTCAGGGGGTAAAAGGGGCAATTTTTAATGCATTTTGTACTATTTTTAAAATTGTTTGGAGGAAGTCTTGACATTAAAGTTTTTGATTTTTATTTTATACTTATGTTTGTGAAAACTTAATCTAATTAAAATGGGCTCTATTCTCAAAAATAAATTAAAAACTCAAAAAGATTGTTTCAAAAACCCTAAACCCATAAATAATAAATAAAAATATTTTTACACAGTACATTTTTTTAATATTTTTATAAATGAAGTTTTAAATTTTTTAGTAATTAAAATGTTTTCTTGAAATATATTTTATATTAATTTTTTTTTTAGATTATATACTTAAATAATTAATATAATGCCACCAAAAAAAAAGTTAGAAGTATTAGATTGGATAGAATATTTTTAATTAAAAAGTTAATTGAACAACTTCCAGCAAAAAAATTTGAAACTGCTAAAGAAATTATTAAATATTATCTCTTTCTACAAAAATCAAAGTGTGAAGAAAAAGTAAAGTTCTTAGTAGGTTGTCCTAACTGTAAAGTTCTTAGTAAGTAAAGTTCTTAGTAGGTTGTCTTAACAAAAGTTCTTCTTTTATACCCAATTGTCCAGTTGTTCAGCCCAACTGAAGTACTTTTTTTATACCCAAATATCCAGCTGATCAGTCAAACTGCTGTATACTGTCCAAACTAATGGTTTCTTGGATACTTGGTGGATTAAAAGTGCTTACAATACAAAAGTTAAAGTAATATTTTCAATAAATTCTAAATTATTTTAATCTATGTTTATTACATAAATATGCTGTTAAATAATATTTTTACAGGATTAAAATTTAGAAATTATTGAAGGAGTGGATGAAATTAAAAGATCAAAGAAACAGAACAAATCCTACTGAAATAAAAAAAAGACATTTGTTTGAAGAGAAAATGAATAAGGTATTTTGGATTGGAGAACATCCTCATGTTATGTTTGAAGAAATATTGATTATATCATTATAATGAGAAAGATTATATTATTATAATGAGAAAGTGAAAGACAAAGAGGAAGATATGGCTGTCTTAAAAGACCAGCTTAGTGAAAAAAAAGAATGTCTTGGAGATAGAGATAAAAAATATGAGTGTTCTGTAGTAAGAAGTAAAAGATGCACATCAAAGTTAAATAGAAATCCATCAGCAGAATTATATAAGAATGATTTAGATAATCAAAGTTCTACTAGTTACACTAGCAACAAATTAGACAAGGAAACAGATGTTGAGTTCGATTTTAATATGCATTCTAATATTCAAAATTCTGTTCTTCTTCCTAAAAATATTCTTCAGTCAACTGCTCATACAGCATTGATTACAAGTGTTATTGTCATGGCTGGTGGTTCTGTAGCAAACTTTAATTGTTCTAAATCCACATCTTATAGAACTGCAAAAAAAATAATATCTGTTAGGGCTAAAGAAATAAAAGAACTCATAAAAAATACTGTAATAGCAGCAGATTCACTAATGACTATACACTTTGATGTAAAAATTGTTAATCAATTAACAATGGGGAAAACAATTTAAAAAAGATAGAATTGCAGTTTTGGTAAAGATTGATGTGAAAACAGAACTACTTGGCATTCCTCCAATAGATTCTTGATCAGGGGTTAATCAAAAGCAAGCTATTGTAGAATTGATGAAATTTTTTGGATTAAAACATAAGGTTAAATGTCTCTGTTTTGACACAACTTCAGTAAATACAGGAAAATGGCAAGGTACTTGCATAAAAATAATTCAACAAGTTCAACGCCCTTTGTTGTTGATTGCATGTAGACATGTAATTGAGCAACACATAGCCCATTTCTGGAAGATTTACCCAAGCAGCAAAACTTCTGGTCGAGAAAACCAACTAAAACCAACAAAAGAAACTATTCGAAGTTCTAAAACAAAACTGGAATCCATGCTGAAACTAAGGAACTGAAAAGAACTACCTGGAACATGGATATATAATCTGAACTTACTTTAATGGTTCTATCATCAAATAGGTTTGAATTTCATACACCAGAACCAGTTCACCATTTAAGATTTATGAGAAAAGGTTTATACTACTAAAAATCTTTTAATGAATGAAATCCAAAACATGACTGAAAAACATAGAGAAAAAAAAATTGGTATGACTTTATTCATTTGTTTTTTGGCATGCTCAGGCATGGAAAGGCAGAAATTCAATGGATGAAGACTCCACAAGAATTTTGGAAATTCAATGATTTTTATCTAGAACTTAAAGCAACAGATAAGGGACTTTATGTATTAAGTTAGTTCAAGACCACATAAATAGAGCATATTCTGAGGAAAAAAGGCAGGATACCTTTCTCTTTACAAATAGTTACAAGAAAAACAGCAACGGTAAGAATAAAATGGATTACAAAAAAGCCACTAGTTCAAATATAAATATAGTATAGTTTCTTATTTTTTTTGTTAATATCACTTCTTTGAGAAAAGAATAAAAAAATTCATAAATTTACTGGATTTGCTGTATTTTAATTTAAATGAAACTTTACTATTGAAATGAAATTTTTTATAATTTAATTTTTTTTTTTTTTTAGTACCTTCTTTCCCTGTCCAGGCCCTCTCTTTTATATATTTACCAAAGTAGTTCCTGAAGCTGATTTTAAGTGAGAAATCAATAGTGTATTGTATCAAAAAAAAATAAAAAAATAATGTACTTTTATGTGTTTCAAGAAAATTTTAATAATATTTTGTATTTTTATGAGCTTTCCTTAATATTTATGGATTTTAGGGTTTTTTGAAACAGTTTTTTTTATTTTGTTGTTGAGAGTTGAGCATTTTATTTAGATTAAATAAATCTTAACAAGCAGAAATATTAAAAAAAAACGAAAAATTTTAATGTCAAAACTTTAAACAGTTTTAAAAATGGTGCAAAACGCCCTAAAAATTTCCCCATTTACCCCCTGAAGGAACCCTTACGATTTTCAAAAATTAAAAAATTAAAAATTTTTTAGTACCAAATCATGATTTGGGCAGATGATATGCTAGGGCTCTTTTTTTGGAGACATAACCTTTTTTTTGAAACACCCTAATATATATACATCCTTTGGAATTAAGTCGGCATTTGACAATGCAAACCTAACTTCCAACCTCAAAGTGTTTGAGGTCAGCAAAAAATTGCTAACATAGTTTCAATGTTTCATGGTTATACTTTTATATCAAACTTTTTTTGTGAACCTTATACCAACCTCTAAAAAATTGAGGGCAACCTCATTTTACTTATTTCTGAGGATGTAAAAAAAAAAAAAGAATTGAAAAAGAGTGCTAATTGAAATACAAATATTTTAAATTAGATTTAAATTGGACTAACTGATAATTATGAAACTGTTACACTCTAAATTATATTGACAAAATAAAAAGTTATTTAACTAATAAAATATAAAATTAATTTAGATTATTGCATATTAATTTTTATTTTAGGTAATGAATTATATATTTAATACATTATTTACTTTAATATATTATTCATTTTTTTGTGGAATTTTTTTTTTACATCTTTGCTTCCAACAAGGCTGTGAGCAACCACTTTAAGAGTTATATTATATCTATATATATATATATATATATATATATATATATATATATATATATATATATATATATATATATATATATATATATATATATATATATATATATATATATATATATATATATATATATAAATATATATATATATATATATATATATATATAATATATATATATATATATATATATGTAAATATATATATATATATATATATATATATATATATATATATATATATATATATATATATATATATATGTATATATATATATATATATAGTATATATATATATATATATATATATATATATATATATATATATATATATATATATATATATATATATATATATATATATATATATATATATATATATATAGGGGAAAGCAGGGCAACATGGCGAACGTTTTGAAAGCCCTGAGTTGTTGCAAAACTATAAGTCGTGAAGACATAATACTTTCTCAGTATGTTTATGTTATTAAATTCTTTCATTGTCTGCATGAATTTTCAGTTTGCAAATATAACAATTTGAAATAAATATTAAAATAAAAAGTTCATAAATTTGTCATCTGGTCACGTGACCAAGGCAAGATGACTTATTATGCAATTTTTACCTCCAATTTTATAAAAATTTTAAAACTACCAATACCTCTAACTAAAGTAACAAAAAAGAAACAAAAATTGCAAAAAACTACTTTTAAAGAAGTTATACTTGAAGGGCACCATCCATTATGAGAAACCGAAAGTGAGGAATTTTTTTTAGGCGCTAAAAGTAAACTTATGTGTATAAAATTGCGTTAATAATATTTCAAAAAGCCAATTAGTGTTTTAAAATACATGATGCAAATACAGTTTCGTTTTCACCCAATTTTAAGATTTTTTGTTGAGTTCTTATATGAAAACCCATCTTGCCCCATTCACCATGTTGCCCCCCTTTCCCCTATATATATATATATATATATATATATATATATATATATATATATATATATATATATATATATATATATATATATATATATATATATATATATATATATATATATATATATGTATATATATATATATATATATATATATATATATATATATATATATATATATATATATATATATATATACATTTTAAAAAAAAAACTTTTAAACGTTTGAAACAAATTTGAATTAATTTATAATTTTATAATTTTATTATAGTTTTTATTAATTTTTGTGCGTTTAACAACGCCAATAATATAATGTTTTTATTAACTTATAATTAAATATTTAGTATGATATTATTTTTTAAAGTTTTAAAAAAGAGATGTCAAAACAACTTTTATTTCATTTTTAGCTCCTTTTATTTTTATTTCTTTAAATTTTACGTCTTTTTATTTGTAAACAAATTTAGCAAATTAACTTGAGAGAAATTCATTATTTAATATCAATGGATTACAATTTGCAATCTGTCATTGCATATTATATATCATTAATTTGCGTGCACTTTGCAAATAAAAAATTGTTTTGATGAAATAAAAATTAATTAAATTCAATAAGCATTGTTGAGATATCTAATAACTTATTAACTAGAATAAAATTAATTATTCTCTTAAATTACATGTTCCTCATTAAATAAAGATACAAATATCAACGTTCATTAAAAGAAAACGATTTGTTGTGCCCTGGGCTTGTAACAAGTATAAAACCAAAATTTTGTATTTATTAATTAATTTTTTAATGCATAAGCAGATAGCTTCTGCAAAGAGCCGAAGCTCTCCTAAGAAGTTGTTTAGGAGAGCAGCTGGCATGGCTCACCATGTTTGTTTTAGGAGAGATTTTTGTTGTTCTCGCATTCATTTACTCCTGCCAAAGCCTGTATATATATATATACAAAAACAAATGTAAATTTAGCTGCCCCTATATACATATATATATATATATATATATATATATATATATATATATATATATATATATATATATATATATGGGGATATAGGGTATATATTAATATGTATATAGGGGTATATATATATATATATATATATATATATATATATATATATATATATATATATATATATATATATATATATATATATATATATATATGTATATAGGGGTATATATATATATATATGTATATAGGGGCATATATATAATGTATATAGGGGCATATATATATATATATATATATATATATATATGTATATGTATATATATATATATATATATATATATATATATATATATATACACATATATAATAGGGATAACAGATGCTGCTTTCCAACATGCTGGAAAACAAGACTCTGATAAGCACTTGTTAAATAGTTTTGAAAGTTTAGACAACAGCTCCCAAGAACACTTCTGCAAGACTATAACAGGTGTGTTGTCCGGGTTGCAAGCTGTATAAGAGTGTAATGCATACTTTTTTTACCATTAAAATTTCACAACTGAAAATGTTAACTTAACCAACTGATTTTTGTTTTTTATAGAGTGAAACAACACAAATTTTATGCAGCTCAAAAATATAAAAATTATAAAACATATCAATTTAAAATTATCTGTTATAGTAAACAACATTTTGTACCCATAATTGTTAAAACTAGTATTGAATGATCTGCAATAGTCAATTTTACTAAACACATCAAACAATTGAAACTAAAAGATTTATTCAGTTGTAATACAGTATTGCAACATTTTAGAGTTATATTTTACAAGATATTTGATTTTTATGTAGATTCATTTGAAGACTCAGCATATAAATAAAGTCAATTTGTGTTGTATACTTCAGGAAAAAGGTTTGTCATTTGCAAATAAAATTGCATATATAACTGACACTGCATTAACTACATAAAAAAGAATTTAGTTCATATAAATTAGTTGACTTCAAAATTTAAAAAATAATTGCTGCTTATTGGGCACAATAGTTGGCTGATAATTAATAAGCCCGCTGAAAATGCTTTGAAAATTTATTATTAGGCATAAGAAACAATTTTTAAATGTTTTCCAAATATACTAAATAAGAATTAAAGATTTTTATTAAAAAATTCAACTAAAAAAATTACATTGTCAATTACTAAATGTATAATTTCACAAAAGAAACATTTCTAGTTTAAATAAATAAATAAAAAAAATCTTATAATAAGCCAGGACTCTTGTGTAATTAGCAAGAGTCTTGACTGATTACAATTTTTTTTTTTAACCACATTTTTCATATTTACAACTCTAAATAAAGTAGTAAAACTCAGAAAGTTACCTTGTAAAAAATATTTCTCTCCAAATTATTTAAATGATAGATTGGGCGCATTGAAATTTGTTTTTCCGCCTCTTGTAGAAACATTACCCCATAACAAATGACAATTTAAAAAAAATCTGCTATTAATCTATTAAAAATTGTTATCAATAATAATTTCATTTTTTGAATGTAAAGCCACATTTTCTGCAAAAATATAAGATGCATTTTCAAAAGAGAAAACGAATAGGACAAACGTTTAGCCAATATTTCAGGAAAAGATAGCCAGTATTTTTGAAAAAGATGCCTGGTAACATTAAGTATCTAAATCCCTAACATCTATTTCAAATTCATTTCATTTCATAAATTGAAATGGAAATGGAATTTTCAAATCCATTTTATGAAGTTGTAGATGGTTGAATTTGAGTTGGATAAGTGGTATTCTTTCAAACATAAAAACACAAGCGTTTAGGTAGAGTAAACAATTTCCTATTCAAAATTCAATGTTTAATAAAATTAATAAAATAAAACATGGCGGAAACAGAGATTGTGAATTTGTTATTTAAAATTGAAAGCGAAAGTGTAAGATATAAATTTCTTAAGCATTCCCATTAATTTTTTTAAATTTACCAAGAAATTTCAAGTTTTTTAAACTTATTTTATAAAATTATCAAATTTTTAAATTTATAAAACTATCAAATTTACTAAATTTATAAAAATTATTTAATAACTTGTTAAGAATTATAACAAATCATTTAATAATTTTTAAAAGTCTTTAGGAATCGAAAATTTGTATATATTAAGATGTATGAAACCATATAATTATTCTAAAACTTCAAGATATCATTTACTACTCAGACCCGTAGCAAGTTTTTTTTTATGTTTGAGATTAACTTTTAGACATGTATTACACTCTAAACTTTTGTAAGTTTATGTTTATGTCAAATAAGAAACATTTATTAAAAGATGACCGAAGCCTGGAAACAAACAAAGACTTGAACTCTTTGCCTGCCTGCCCTTAACGTGATAGCAACGAGTTTATAATTTTTTATTTTACTATTTATAAATAAATTTTAATTCATCAACAACTTTTAAACTTCATACAATAACCTCTAGGTGTTTAAAAATTATGGCAATATAAAGTTTGAACCCCTTCGGTTTGAGGGGGCTGTAAACTTTTCAGGGTCATAAAAATCAAAGACTTGGAAACTTTTGCTTAAAATTTAAATTTTGTCTAAAAATTTGAATTTCGTTATATATAGTAGAAAAAAAAAAAAAAAAACTTAAATTTATGTTCCACATAAAACATGTTATACAGCTTTTAAGAAGCTAAATAACTTAAAACATCAATGGAGATTCTGAAAACTCTAAATAGTTGATTTGTAAAGCTCTTGGTAGCCTTGAAACGTACTATTTGGTATCCTTGCGGCGAACGTGACGTCACTTTAACTAACTAAACGGATACCACTATGGTATGGGGGCAAACAAAGCGCTTGAAAATGGAGAAATGTGTTTTTTTGTTTTGTTCAATTAATGTTAATAGTCATCCGAACTTGATTTTTTATATTTTGCTTCCTGATCCAAAGAGAAGAAACTCGTGACTTTATGCTTTATATAGAATTGATTCATTTTGCAAAAACAAACTTTGGTCGCAAAACATGTCAAAGTATGCTCAAAACATTTTGTATCTGGTAAGTTTTTTAATTTAATCGTCAAAATATTTGAGCACAAATTTTTCTTGAACTTATTAAGTTTTTTTCGTCTATATATTTTTATTCATTGTAAGTATGTTTCTCTTTTAGGAAAAAAAAGAACATAGTCTAGATGCTTTTCAAAATTTTGAAAAGCATGTTGACTATGTTCCATCCGTAAATATGTTAGGTGCTAAAAAAATATATAGTGAAATCATCCCTCTAACATACCAATTGTTATGTGAAATGAAAGGAGAATAAATAGATTAAACAATTCACTTAGTATATACTATATAGTATTGGTATGTACTGTATAAACAACAAGATAAACTATATAATATAGTTTATCTTGTTGTTTAAAATGTTTTTGTAAAAACTGTTTATGTAATAGTTACAACTTATTTTTGTTATGCATTGATGCATAACAAAAATAAATTTTATATATAAATATTAATGCATTAAAACTAAGCAATTATAAATCATGTGTTTATTGTTTTTATTTTTAAATAAATTAATGCTCAATAGCTTGTTGAGCACAAATTTTGTATTTACTATATACCTCAAACATGCTATTATTTTTTTAGAATATTATGTACAAAAAAGTCATTGCAATAAATCTCAAGTTATTAAAGTCAGTGAACAAATAAGTACTGACAATTCGTTGACTGGAGTGGAAGATGTTAGTGTCTTGAACCAACATGAAACAACAAGTGAACTTAGCTGAGAATGATGGTAGTTTCAAAATAACGCAGCATTTGCTAGGTAAGTGATTATGTGTATTTTGGCTCATTCATAAGTCAATATATATGTGTTTATGTTCTGTGTCGACCTCTGGTGTCGTGTTGCCTCACCCTTTAGACATTATATTTGTGTTTGTGTTCTGTTTCAACCTCTAGTGCGGTGTTGATTCACTTGTAAGTCATGTGTATAATTTTATTTTGTTTTATTGTGTTATTATTGTGATGTTATTGTTGTGATGTTTTGTGTTGCTTACCTACTCGTTGGTGTCTCATGCTACAAATGATTATTAGACGTTACTTCTAATCATTTACTAATAGGCAAGAAATATGTTTTAAAGTAAAACATACTTTTAATGTTGTCATTTTTAATCTTTAGGATTGTTCTTAGGTCACAAAAACAATCTTACAAAGTAAGTTTCTTTTTTATTATTTATTTAGTTATATTTTTAATTAAATTTTTATTTTTCATGTTAACATGATACATAAGACATTAATTTGTAAATGCTTTCAGCATAAATTGGTTCCATTTTCTTTAGTAGAGTTTCTGCTGTTGTCACTGGTTTTAGAGAGTACCTTCGTGAATGAAGATAAAAAGTCATTTATGTTATTTTTTAAAAGCCAAGACATAATATTGTTAATCCTCATACCATTTACTAAAAAACTTTATAAATATTGTTACGATGTTATAATTCAAATTGTTGTAATTAGTAATTTTGATCATTTCATTATTATACTGTAAAAAATATTTTTTATTTATAACATTTATTTCACATATATTAAAAACATGAGGAATAAATATTACACTGAAAATTTTAAGCAAAATATAGAATTTTTAAATGTTATTAGAATATCAATATGTAATATTTTTGTTTTATTTGTTGACTACATCTGTAAACTGTGCAATAATTTCAAATTGATGAGTTAATTGAATTCCATGATTCCTTTAAGCATTTGCACAGATTTATTTCAATATAACGCTAAATTTTGTTCTGGTAACGTTCAGCAGCTTTTTTAGATAACTTTTCTTGATAATCATAAGAAATTTTCAAGGCGTTTAAGTAATGTTGTACTGAAATCAGCGCGTTTGTTTGCCCCCATATCATAATGGTAGATGTTTTTGTTTTTAACTACGCAATGATCACGTGGTTTTTTCGCCGCAAGAATTAAAGTGCCAGATAAAGAAATCGACATACTTCCCAGTTTCTGGCGACCATCTTCAGTTATTTCATCATGGTAGTTGTCATTGCTTATTAGCATTTACCTCAAGTAGCAGGGTTCAAGTATACAATAGCCTGCGCTCTAACCTAACATTGCATTCAAAAACAAGTTTAAAATTCCTTTTTGCACCACTAGTAAAGTGTGAAAAACTTGACGTAATATTTCTTCCTATTCATAAGCAGACTGCTTAAGACTATGGTAATGGTTATCGCAGTATATTGTTAAATGGAAAATCCCCCGTTGATGCTCGGTTTGTTGTAAATGAAATACGCAATCACTATATAAAATTCTTGACAATTATATCATTTCCCAATACTAAAAAAAACCGTCCATGTTTTAAGCAACAAAAAAAAAAATTTCATGTTTTGATTCGAAAATATGAAAAAATCAATTGAAAGTAAATCGTATATGTAGTTTACAGTTTTTTTTTTTCCAAAAGTTCCCAACAAGTGTCTCTCATTCTTAACAAAATAGTGTACTTGCAAATTAAGTTATTCCATTAAAATTCTGTAGTGACGTATCTTTATTTTACTTTATATATTATTTTAAAATATTAAATAGTTTAATATACTCCTTTGAGTTAAATTTCAAACGTTTATTAAAGAAAAAATTTGCGTTGAATGAAAAATAAGAAAAAACATGTTAAAAAAAGAATCATCACCCGACGCTTCAGCAATTCAAAAATATTCTGGTTATCATAGATTTAATAACCTTTTGATCATCATTTTGATAAAAAATCGCTTACAAAAAAATTGATTTTTTAAAATCGATTATTTGAAATTGGATGTTCTATAAATAATAATTTTTCTTGGACACAAGGCTAGCGCAATAGGGGTGTGTGTGTGTGTGTAGGAAAGGGAAAGGTCACAACCACGCCCCCCCCCCCCCACATACACACACACACTTTGTATTATTTCCCTTTTTTGAAAAATTTAAAAAAAGGGAAATAATACAATAATAAGCGCAAAACTGTGATATATATTGTTGTGTTGTATCGAATTTTATACTTTTATATTTTTAAAACTGTCTTTGAAACATTGTAAAATGGTTAAATAAAATGTTTAAATAAAAAGTATATAAATATAAATATCTATTTATAAATATTACCTTTACAATATTAATAGTTAATTCATAATGAGAGCATAAAAACAAACATTTTTTTTGTCAAGTAAATGAATTTAATTTTTGCGTATAATTATTACTTTATTTTTAAATTTCGAAGGTTTTCATTAAATACTTCATCAAATGACATAAAGCATATAGCATTATATGAATAAAATATATGCATAATTTATATTTCGGTTCATTTTTCTGAACAAGAATAGTTTATTCAAGCATTTTAGAAAAACTTTTCATTTTAAGTGCTGTGTGTCTATATTCGATGAGCATATATATATATATATATATATATATATATATATATATATATATATATATATATATATATATATATATATATATATATATATATATATATATATATATATATATATATATATATATATATATATATATATATATATATACATATACATATATATATATATATATATACTCATCGCATATATATATATATATATATATATATATATATATATATATATATACATATACATATATATATATATATATATATATATATATATATATATTATATACTCATCGCATATATATATATATATATATATATATATATATATATATTTATATATATATATATATATATATATATATATATATATGTATATATATATATATATATATATATATATATATATATATATATATATATATATATATATATATATATATATATATATATATATATATATATATATGTATATATCTATATATATATATATGTATATATATATATATGTATATATATATATATATATGTATATGATATATATATATATATATATATATATATATATATATATATATATATATATATATATATATATATATATATATATATATATATATATATATATATATATATATATATACGTTTATATAATAATATTAATATAACAATTAGAGACTAAAGTGCCATCATTTACAACAATCACAATAGTGATGAAGTAATTCAGAAACACTGAGAAAGTTTACTTTGTGCTCCTGAAGGCGTCTACAAAAAGTTTGTATTTCATTATTTTTTTAAATGTGTCTAAAGTGGCTGAGTTACGTGTTTTTATAAACAAGCCATTCTATATTCGAGGTGCATGGAAAAAGACTTTGATCCTTGGCAAGTTTTTGATAGGCAACAAATTAGTTGACAACGGTCTGATGAACTTGTGCCTTGTTTTGAAATTCGGGTTTCTAAAATTTCGAATAGATATGCAGGATTTAGTATTTAAAGTTTTATATGTAATAACTGATATTTTATAAACTATTTGTTGATGGATTGGTAACCAATGAAGAGATTTTAGCAGTTTTTTTGATTTTGAATAAAAAAGAGAATAAGAGACAATGCCAGATAAACTATTTTAAGTACGTTGGAGTTTTTTAAATTTTTTTTTATAAGAACCTGATAAAAGACTGTTACAATAGTCAATTTGAGAGTTAATAATGCCACAAGCTATTGTGTTAGCTGCTTCATTTGTGAGACATTGAAGAATGTAGCGAAGAACATGAATATGATAGTTGCAGGATTAAAGAGTGTTATTTTTTCATGTTGATCAAAGGAGAATGTTGAATTTAGATTGACACCTAGGATTCAACACCAAATTTACTGTAGCTTGTGTTGGTCCACAGAATGTAAATTTGGAATCATTTTTAAATCTTCTAGCTTGTTTCCTAGATTCAAATAAGATAGCTTCTGTTTTGCATGAGTTAAGTAAAACTCTATTTTCTATTAACACATGCATTATTGTTATCTTTTCCTGGGTTAATGAAAGTATATAACTGAGGTATATAATCATCGGCATATTGATGATGACTTGTGATATGTTTAGCTATAATACGATATACAGGAAAAACAAACATCGAAAATAAAAATGGGTCTAAGACACATTTTGTAGAACTAGTTGACAATTTAGATTTTGTTAAGCCTATCACAACAAAAGATTTTCAAGAGTGCACGTATGACGTTAGCAATGTTAGTGCAGTATCTATAATACTAAAGTCATCTTTTATACAAGCAATTAGCAGGTTGTGTTTGATTGTATCAAACGCTGCAGATATATTCAGAGAGAGGAAAATGGTGGTTAAAGCATCATTAATGTTTAACAGGATATCATTGCTTATCTTTAGGAGCGCTGTTTCTGTTGAGTGATTAGACCCAAAATCAGAATAAAAATAATTGAAGTTTACAGTTGAAGTTACATGTGAAAGAAACCAAGAAAAAGCAACCTTTTCAAGATTTTTTGATATTGTATTGAGGTTTAATATGGAGCGTAGGTCAGTGAGTTTAAATATTGTTTGTCCTGATTTTTTAGAAATTGGTGTAATTTGAGCAATTTTGAATGAGATTAGAAAAATTCCTGATTTGAATGAGAGGTTGGGGAGGTGAGTTATAATTAGACTAAATAATTCTAAATGCAATTTAAGAATGTTTGTTAGTGCATTCCCTAACTTTCGTTGTTACGCAATTCCCGAATTTTCATTGTTGGTTATTAATGCGCAACAAAAGATTGCTGGAAAGCAGATAAGTAAGATACGCGGCACTTTTTCTATTTTGACCAAGAAAAAATGTTTGCGTTTTTTTTCTTGAATGCTTATAAACTTTTTTATCACTTAAGTGTTAGTATTTTATCATTTTATTGTATTGTACACAAAGCAATATTTGCATAGTTTAAATGACAATTTATAAAAGAATAATATAAATGTATTAAACATGATTTATTCAAATCATTTCTAGCCTTACCTATTACTCCTATAGTTTTAACAATTAGTGTGATATTTTTAGGTTTTCATCAAACATATATAACTAAAAAGGTAATATTTGTTTCTTTTTTTGCTTACATTTTGTCTATAAAAAGTAAAGGCAAGACGGTAGGCTGAAGTTTTTTATTAGATATCTCTTGAAAGTGACCCTTTTTATCGGCATTTAGTGGCAATTTAAATCATTAAATTTGACACTTCAAGGATATAATTGATGTAAATTAAAAATAGAAGTGGTTCAAATAAAAACCCTGGGGGAACTCCACAGGTTATACTTAATAGATTAGTTGTATCTAGTTTAACTAACTATAAACAAACTGTTTACGGTTGCTAAAATAACTTTTAAGTAATATTAAAACATTACCTTTAATTCTATAGTATTCTTTTTTTTAAGGAGAATTTCATGATCAGTAGTGTCAAATGCTTTTGATAAATCTTTGAAAATTCCCAACGTATATTGAGACTTCTCAGAAGATCTAGCTATGCTATGTTATTTGGAGTATGACGTGTTCTTCTTGCTAATTTTTTTTGAACCAGTATTGATTGAT